GGGGGGGCCCTAGAATAATGTCTAGAGATTTGAAGCTTTAAATCTTTATTCCGTTTCTTTGCCTTTTGATTTGCTTTACTTACCATTGAAATTGCAGGTCTTTGGATTCAGATTTCCATTGAAATTTAAAAAGTTAGTTCTATTTCCATTGATTCATTCCCTTTTATTGTAATTAATATTCCAGATGTCTTCAAAGTTAGGTTTCTTGATTCCTTTTATTTTAACTTGAGAGGAGGGAGACACGAAAGGTAGGACAACGAGAAGAGAAGAGAATGGGAGAAACAGGAACAAACATACAATATTCGACATGGTGATTTATCCCCTCGGAGGCGACCTTTCGTAAATCGTAAATATATATATATATTCATATACACTTTAATTGTTCAAACATATGCTCTGGAAATGTTCAAACAGATTTTTAGGAAAACAAATTTGCCCCATGGATCAGATCATCGGTGAGCATTAAATCGGAGCATCATAAGATTTAAACTATCCTAAAATCATAAGAAATTCACGAAGACGCTCCCCAGGAGAGAATTGACGTGCTTCACAAAACAAACTCTAGGTATGTATCCCCTCGGAGAACACCTTTCGTGATTAGAACTTCATATACATTCTTTCTAAATGTTCAAGAGGATTTCAATTATCCTAAAATCATGAGAGGCTCACGAAGACGTTATCGATTTTAGAGGGGGGAAGGGGGGATCTGTATTGAAAAATCAATTCCAAGGGGGCGGGGGGGAGGGGGGGGGGGAGGGGTCTAAATTAAACGATCAATTATCAGACCCGGACGTCCCAACACTTGCTTCGCAAGACAGACTCAAGGTATCCCCTACAAAGCTACCTTTCGTAGTCAATTCCAAGGGGAGGGAGTCTAAATTAAGAAATCAATTCGAGGGACGAAAAGAGGGGCTTTAAATTGAATACTTAATTATTAAATCCGGACGTCCCAACACTTGCTTCGCAAAACAAACTCAAAACCTAAAGGGCTACCTTTCGTAATATTTACACGGACCGAAAAAACTATCCATAAAATTAATTAATTCTTTACATTTAAATGAAAATATATAAAATATGCATTTACAATTACACGAAACTATAATATATCAATATCGATATAATTATACCTTATTATATATTTTAAATATAAAAAAACAAATAATATTTCTTATATTACCAGCCACTCAACAATTACAAAAAATTACCTCCAGGAGTGTGCAGTATCTCCACGGAGGCGTTTGCACGGCATCATATTGGCATACTTCGAGCCACAGCAGCGTTCTCCAAGCCCGCATCGTGTTTGGTGTGTGATCTCGGTCTCCATGCCTGTATTTCGTTTTGGTGTGTGGAGACCCAGCTCGTTCTCGAGAGGTCTTCCTAGCTCGTTTGACAAGCTAAACATGTCATTAACCAAACCATAGCAAACAAATGGCTCATTTGATGCCCATCTCGTTTTCGGGGTGTTCCTACCTCGTTTCGCCAACTAACTCTGACATTGGGCTATAGAAAAGGAACGCCCCGAGACCAATCACCACTACCGCAAATAGAAGCCGTTGCTGATATGCTCTCGAAATGTTCAGAAAGGTTCTGAGGGAAACAACCTCGCCCCATGGCTCAGATCATCGGTGAGCATAGAATCGGAGCATCATAGGGTTTAAACTCTCCTGAAACCAGAAGAGACTCAGGAAGACGTTCCCCAAAAGAGAATAGACGTGGTTCACAAAACAAACTCTAGGTATGTATCCCCTCGGGGAACACCTTTCGTGATTTGAATTTCATATGCACTCTGTCTGAATGTTCAAGAGGGTTTCAACTATCCTGAAATCATGAGAGGCTCACGAAGACGTTCTCCAGGAGAGAATTGAATTAAGAGGCTCACGAAGACGTTCCCCAGGAGAGAATTAATAGACGTGGTTCACAAAACAAACTCTAGGTATGTATCCCCTCGGGGAACATCTGTCGTGATTAGAATTTCATATGCACTCTTTCTGAATGTTCAAGAGGGTTTCAACTATCCTGAAATCATGAGAGGCTCACGAAGACGTTCTCCAGCGGAGAATTGAATTTAGAGGGGGGGGGGGGGGGTCTG